AAAGTATTGCCACGTTTCCTAAGGTGAAAAAAAAAGTCATCTCCTTTTTGCAATGACTGCAACACATTCTAGTTCTCACCAAGTAATACTTAATGGTAATTTTGCTAGCTCTGCTTTGCCATGCATTGGTGCTTGTCCCGGTGAGATTGCTGAAGTGCTGATTTACCGACTGGTGTCGCCCAGACCAGTTTCAACAAAACTGTGGGAAATGTAGTTGTATGTTATATTAGTGTTTGTAAGACAACCACTTCTGATGGTCTGTAAGTTGCAACAAGAAGGAAGCTTAAGAATGTTTTTGCCTTTCTACTGTTGTGAGCCAGAGCAAGGTTCATAAGAAATTAATTATTATGTCTATGACAGAGAAGGGACTTGGGTCTAAGAAAAAAATAAATATATTTGGGTTGTTCTTTTTTCTGTGCTTTAGATTACATCTGCATTTGTTTTTGGTCAGATAACCCCTAGTGAAAGTCATGGCTTGTTATATATGTTAAATGTTTCCTGCTTGTCATCTTTTTTTATGAGTTGGGTAATTTATGAAAGGCAAATACATTTAGCTTTCTGCCCTGTCAACTGACTGCTCTCTAGAAATTAAATGAGGCAAACCAACAGAACTGCAGACTACAATAGCAAAACTGCTAAAAGATCAGCTTTTTGAGGGAAGATCTGACCAGTGCCTTTTCAGGGATGTAGTATCTGTTGCCAAAACCTGTATCCTGATTGATCAGCTAGGAAAAAGGAGTTAGTTTTGAAAATGCAAGGAGGGGGAAAAAATCCTTCCTTTCCTCCTTTTTCCTGAGAAAGGTTCAGTTCAGAACAACAGATAAAATTTCATATAAAATCTTCCAGCCTTGACTTTGGTGGACTTGACAGTGTTAGGTTTATGGTTGGACTCTGATCTTAAAGACTTTTTCCAACCTAAATGATTCTATGGTTCTGTGAAGATCTTGCAGCTTCTTGTTGTATCTCACACCAGAGTTTATGCGCAATCCTTTTAAGTTACGGAGATATGAAAACCCCAAACGCATTAGCAATGTTAGTACTGGTATTGTGTGCTCTCCTTTTTTATAGAGGGGCTCATAAGCATAAGTTACCTTCTTGTGAATTTTCCATTGAGTTTGACATCTGCTTTTTAAGTTACGAATGTAATATAGCCCTGTTATTAAAGGATAGAAGGACTGGGGATGGTGGGACTTTAAATGAAGTTCAGAGAAGGGATGACTCTGAAATGTCTTTCAGATTTTAGGTTCAATTAAGCTTTTGGGATTTATTATTTATATCTATATTTATACAGATATATATAATAGATTTATGTCTACTGTGTGGTTATACACACAAGGCAGCTGAGACTTGTCCAAAAAAAAAAAAAAAAAATCATGCTTTGCATTGAACTTACTTCCATAATGCTAATTATTGAGATTACAGTGTTTTTGTTCATGATCAGTCTTTGAAGACAATGTATCAAATTGTACTCATTGCAGGAGCATGAAATACTGTAGCTTTAGCTTTAATAATGGGGGTTTCCAGTTACTGTCTTACTGGTAGTTACAGAAGGGTCCTGTTGAATTGCTCATGTATCTTTTTTTTTTTTTTTTATGAGTGAAATACTTGGAAAGGGAATGAATAAAGGAAGAATTTAAAGAATGAATAGTTTTTGGTAGGCATATTGCTCACAGTGAAGAGCAGACTAATTCATTTTCCTAATAAGGCTGTGCTGGAAGTTGGAATGTTTTGAATTGCATTAAATGTCATGAAAGTACTCATTGGAGAGGAACGGCTTGTGGTATGTTTAGAGAGTAAATTTGATCATGTTTGGTTGAAATGAACTGTGTACACAAGCTAAATACAGTTTTTTTTTTTTTTTAAAGAGAACCCCCCCCCAACAAACTAACAAAAAACAACAAACCGACTTTGATGTAGAAGCCTGTGCAAAAACTTTGTGCGCTTTCATTTTCATTATTAGGCTGTCAGTAAGTGAAGGCTGCTGCTTCTATCGTTGTTGTTTATAATAATTCGTCTGAAACTCAAAACTAACTGTTTGCCAAGGTCTTTTGTGCGAGTTGTTTATAATAAGCATTTGCACTGAGCTGTTATGTCTTTGCCTTGTTTGTATGTTATTGCAAATATTGCATAAACTAATATACTGAACTATGAGTTTTAAATCATTCAGAAAATATCCTGCTTTAAGCCATCCTGCTTTTCTAATAAGGAGTAACAGGGCAAGCGTGTCATATATAGTTTTGAAAGCCTTTACCATCAGTTATTCAGGCATTCAACATGACCAAACCAGCATGAATTCTTAATACGTTTTAATTGCGAGGTGGCAAGCAGAGTGCTAACAGCTAGAAAAATGTGCATGATTCTGCAGGTTTTTTTGTTTTGTTTTGTTTTTGCTATATAATTTGGTGGTATCTATCAAAATCTTAAGGGAAATAGCTCTGAAGGAAGCATTTTCTTAAATGTATGTGTTGGATATGTTTTCCTTTTCAGCTTGAAGTGTGCATTTCCTTTTGTACTGTCTTGTCTAACCACCATGCATTTTTCACATTCAGATCTTGGTGGCTCAGTTTGCTGGGTGAGCATTTTCTTTATACGATATGGAATAAATCACAGATTTTGGTCTGATTATGTTCTGAAGTCAACAAGGCCAAGTTAAACTGTTTGAAGTATGTCTGGGACACACAAATTTATGTCCTTGTTTCAAGTATGTTTGGGGGAAATAAAGTAATGCTATGCTGTCTGATTCGAGTCTGAAAAGAACATTGGGAACATTTCAGTTATCGACCTTTTTTTCACCCTTTTTGTCTTTTTCTTCTTTCTGTGTGATATTTTTTAAGTTGAATTTTGAAGAGTATGTCTTCAGGTCATGTGGAAATAGTGGTTTGAAGTAATTTTTGCTCAGTTCTGTGTTGAATGAAGAGCAATCTCATCCATTGCAAGCTCAAATTTGATTATTTTGTAAAAACAACAACATTTAAGCATGTTCCTTTTATGAGACTGAAACTTCAAGGTCCAGCATTAGCAAGAAGGTTGTTTTTCTCAAGCATTAAATATAGTAGTTGACTTCAGTAATGAATGTCTTTCTATTCCTTACTGTTAGACCAGCTTAATAAATACACAAAACTTTCCAAGTTCCTTTATTAAAAAACATATGCCTGAGCAAGATGCGTGTTTCCTTCTAACTCTGTTCTTAAAAAAGAAAGAGAAGTTTCCATATGTATTGGCTGTTTCCACACACCCCCCACCCCCTTCTTGTTGCTTTTGTTGCTGCAAATTGACAGCTCTGCAATTAGGAGTGATTAATGATGCACCCCAGCGCTTCCTAGGGCTGGAGGTCAGCCTCCTCCTAGGCTGCGCACTCTGTGGGAAAGGGAATAACGGACCTGTTCCTCGAAGCAGACAAAACCCTCTCTCTGTTGAGAATTACTGTTGATGTGGACATAATGTGTGTCAGCAGCCATGCACAAATGGTGAAGGTGAAGTGCAGAAGAAGATCTTCTCATGTGTTGGAGTTTTCTTCCTTTTTTTTTTTTTTTTTTTTTTTTTTTTTTTTTTTTTCCCTCTCCCCTGCTAACAGCGTGTGGATTGTATGTATTTCCCTTTTTGTAAATTGGCTACTGAACCTACAGCAGGATTGCTGTTGCTGCGATCTGGTGAGCCCTGAGGGCCAAATGACTATAAGGGAAGGAGTAAACATTTTTAATGCCTTTATTTTAAAAAACAAACAAACAAACACCACAGGAAACAAAAGAACAATAAGAGAAATAAAAAATAAAGGAGTTGTTAAATGGACCAAGTGTGCCTAATTCAAATCTAGCTCTCCATGTTTTTCTGGTAGAAACAGAAAAGCTGGTTTATACAATAGAGGTGTTTTGAATTGTAGCTTCTGTTAGCTGATTTCCAATTAAACTCAGCTTTTTGCCTCCCCAGCAAATTATGTTTTGGAAATGAGAATCCAGCTGCAGTTCTTCAGAAGCCCTGTTTTGAAGATTTGTCGGAAATTGGGGTTGTGTGATTTCAGGCAGGATGTGATTGCTGGTTCTTGGATCATTAAGGGTGCCAGCTTTTCTGAGCAGCTACCAAATATGGCCAGAAATGTTTCAAAATGTGGCAAGAAGCCACTTTTCTACCGAAACAGCATGAAAAGACTCCAGTGTATCAGCAGCAATGTTTGCAGACAAAATGTTAGTGTACCAGATTTTTTACTGTGTTTTTTTTTTTGTTGTTGTTGTTTTTTTAATTCTATGTGTGTGTGTATTTTTGCATATATGTATATGCAAATCTGAAAAAAAACAATCGAGTGAGATGCCTTTACCTGTAACGTGTCCAGTTCACCTTAGGTATAACAAAATCTGTGAATTCTTTATCTTCTTAATTCTTCTCATTATGATACTTCATTTCCTTCCTACCACCCCATAGTACCTTCAATGCACCCATTGTTTGGAAGAAATTTTTTGCCATCTACTGTGGAGTTCAAGTGACATTAACTTACCTTTGAAAACCAAAGACTGTGCAAAAAGTTTCTGTACTATTTAACCTGCAAAGTCCGTCAGAAAGATTTTGTTGTTGTTGTTCTAAAAGGAAGCTTTCCATTTTAAGCGTGAATAAAGGTTATGTGTTATTTAAAATACAATTTTTCTAACCAGAGCATTTGAGTAATGTGTCATAGTTTCTTATGAAAGGATGGAAAACAGCAAATTAGAGCTAAAGTCTCCTAACTGGTGATATGGTATTATGAATTTATAAATCAAATAGCACTTGATGATATATGATAAAGTTCCTCACACTGTATCTGGATAAATTAATCCAGTTTGTTTTTGCCTTTTCCTTTTATTAACAACAATGTTGTAAGTTTAACTTGAATACGTATTGTTTCCTTTAGAGGAAACAAAATGAAATATTTTATATATCTGTGGGTGGATGTGGTGAGTTGGAAGAGGGAAATACTTAAGCATTAAAGAACTTGTTTTTTTACGATTAAGTGTGTATTTTTCCTCTTGCAGAGTGGCTTCTGTACCCAAACCCAATCTTGTTCATGTACCAAAGGTATGTTCATAATCATAATCAAGAAATGTAGCATGTGGCACTAACTGTTACCCATCTGTCAAACCCTGTTGTTGATAAGCACTGTCATTCAAACTTTCTTTTCAATATAACATGCTTGATTTCCATGTGTTACATTAGGAGTATTGCAGCATTTGAATTTTCGAGTGTTTTTTTTTTTTTTTTTCTTTTTTTTTTTTTAATCCCTAAAAAAGAATTGAGAGACCTGGCAAATGATTAATCAAAAAAAAAAAATTTTTTTAAATAAATGTTATCTTACAACTCTTGCAACATTTTTTTAGAAAGCTGTTGCTGGAAATGTTCACCTACCCCTAAGAGAGAAACAGTAGTGGGGTTTTTTGTTGTTGGGGTTTTGTTTGGGATTTGTTTGTTCATTTTTAATGATCACTAAAATCTTCCTTTATATATGAAAGAAGTTTATCTAAATATTAGAGTTTCATAGAACAATTCACCTCACTTAGAGCCCTGGGGACTTATTTGTTCTCAAGTTCTAATGTTTTTTTTATCAAGCAATAGTTTCAAACTCCCCTTTTTGATAAGAACGCTGTTGCAAACCTGAAGATACTTACAAATGGCCTGTACTTGAAAATCCTCCCCAGTGGACATAAATAATATATACCATATTACTATTCTGCTGACCATGACTTGAAAGGCTACAGTTTGGGAACCACCACGGTAACCATGGCTCCCAGAGAGAAAAGAAAAAAAAAAAAATCACATTTTTTTGGAGTGTTTTGATCTGACGAGGGTATATGAAGATGTTGGGGCACATCAATGGAGTGCAACCGGAAAAGATCACTGAGTCCCAAAGCAATGGCCTCTAATAAATGAGCTCCAGGGTTCTGGTTCTGCTCTTAAGGGCTGTATCAACAGATCAATATGAACAGTGTGTGTGTACACACGCACGTGCTGTTTGTGTATGAGGAACGTGCATATCTTGAGTTAGGTTTGAGAGGTGGAATGTGGATTTTTATGAAAAACACTAATATTTTCCACATGAGTTACCCGGTGGGTTTTGCAATAGAGTGGTTCTTCAGTTTCTCTTGAATTTATTTGATTTGTGGGGTGTCTGTTTTGGATGTGATGAGAGGAGTTAGCATCGTGGGATTTCTTATTGATTGTGCATGCTTGGATCATTCCCTTTCCTAAAACGCATGGCTCACCCTTTCCCATACATTTCATGGCTGCACTCTCGGTGAAGCTTGCTTCTGTGCTTCTTCGTTTCACACGAGGCAGGTTATCTCCCCCGAGAGCAGCGAAAGTCCCTGCTGAAGGAACGTGCATGCGTCTGGCGTGGTTTTGTGTGTTTCTTTTTTTGTCTTTCATCTCGCATAGGGAGAACCTACAGAAGTAGTTAAGCCTGTGCCCATTGCCTCTGCTGTCGCACCCAAAGTCACTGCCACGGCGAGCGTGGCTTACAATAAGACACCGAGGCCGTTTGGAGCCGTAACCTCCTCCAAAGTCACCTCCATCCCATCACCATCCTCCGCCTTCACCCCAGCCCAGGCGGTGGCCCCGGCCCCGGCCCCGGCGGCTGCCGCCCCGGCCCCGTTTGCTGCGCCCGGACTGCATGTTAACGCCAAGCCTAACGCTGAGCAGCGGTCGCCTGCGCCGAGCGCTGCTAAACCTGCAGTTAATGTCCCACGGCAGCCCGCCACGCACAATGCCGCCGGTGACGGCGCCCAGGATGTAGCCGAGGGGCCACGACGAGGATTCAGAGAAAACCAGGGGGAGAGTAAACAGCAAAATGGGTAGGTGGGATTTCTTTTTGCTGTGAGGGTCTTTCCTCGCAGGAAAAAAGCTGGGCTTGTTTAAGGGCTGAGTAAAAGACAGCTTGGAGGAGTCGTTCAGTCCTCAGGAGCGAATCTCTGAGGAAGGACTTGCATCTTAAAAGGGATGCTTCGAAGGGCCAAGCTAGACTTTTAGTAATGGTTTTTCTCAGGAGTGACATGTCAGTTTATAGAGTGTCACGGCTAAATTGAATCAAGACCACGAAACGCTTTACACGATGGGTTGATGTGTTCTGGACCTTACAACAAGCCCAGTATTAATTTCAATGTCCGTGTCTCACTGTGTATTTTGACTCCCGATGCGGTGACTGAAAGCAGCAGGCACTCAGAAATGCAGAGCGGTCTGTCAAGAAGGGTCAGTGGGTTCTGCAGTGGCCAGGAATGAGAAGCTCTGGAAGAGCAACCGTGGCCCCGGTGCAGAAAGGTCCCAAAAGGAGACAAGAGGACGGATGTTGCATTACATCTCCATACAACACATGAGAAACTTGAAGATGCATTCAAAGAAGCTGACAGGGGTTGAGCAGATTTTTTGCAGCACTGTTATGTAAAAACCCCAACTTTAAATGTTACCTTTACCCTAAAAAAGCAACACAGACTTAAAATTTGAGTAATTTCCCCATTCAAATAGTTGTTTATATTTAAAATGGATATCAGAGACCTAACATTTAAGGGAGTGTAAGGCTGCATAAAAAGCTTATATTTTATCTGGTGTAGCATCTAAACTAGTAAACAGTAGATTAGCAAATTAAACTGAGCCCAGCAGCCATCCTGGGCACTCAGACCCACACTGCTGCCCTGTTTCGGTGGCGTGCTTTTGACTGGGACCTGGGGACTGGTTCCCAGTGGCTGCCGTGTCGTGGTGCGAGGAGGAGGCTGGGTGTGAGCAGTCCCATGCTGGTTGGCCTCTGTGCCCAGCAGTGGTGTCCAGCAGATTGAATTAAGTAATAAAAAGGGCAGGGGGGCAACTGCAGGTTTCTTTTCAGTCTTAAGAATGTAAAACCTGTGCTTAAAAGCTGTAGTTACTATTTCCCATCCCTCAAAGGAGGGGGGCTGGAGGAGGAGGCCTAGTGCCTCTCTCCTCTGATAGTCTCTCAGTGTATAAAGTATATAAAGAACCCTACAGAAAGGTAAACATCCACATCAACTAACATACAGAATAAATTGCAGTTTCAGTTGGGCTTCTCATGGGGGAAAAAAAACTTCTTTAGGTACGTATTCATTTTATATTGCAGTACGAATATTTTCCATATGTGGACTCGTATAATGCAGTCCGTATGCATTTTATATCACACTGTTGTCGTGGTAACTTTCAGCCCTTTCTTAAACAGCTGATGGCAGGAGTCCACACTGCACAGAAGTGGGATAAAATTGGGTGATTCCAGTGACTTGCTTGATTCTGATAGACTTGTTGAATATCCCTTGGCAAACCCTCTCTTACCTTCTCAAGAATGCTGTTATAGCAAATAACTGTGTAAGGAGTATTCAAAAGCAGCAATTAGTGCTGAAAAAGAGGAACAATAGCAACAAGATCTGGAAGGAAGTACTGCAGGCATAGACAGTCAAGATAGGATGACTGGGTGAGCTCTGTTACATGCCCTACCTTATGGTTGGGGGATGCATAATGGTGACCGAGGAGAATGACAACTGGCAGGTGAGGAAATCCTTGTCTCACTGCCAACCTTGCAGATCTAGTAAAGCTTGAAAATGTTTAGAGCTGTAAAAACCTGCTTTATTCCACCATCTTTCTTACAGTAGTGTGTTTGGGCTGTCTAACTGTCTTGCAGTCCTAAGGCAGAAAACAAAACCAAGCAAACAAAAACCCTTGAAGTGATTATATTGGTCTGCTGCTACACTACTTCCTTAGTTTTACTTAGAAAAATTACATTTTGACAATGATACTTAACTATCTCCCCATTTAAAATAGAATCAATGACATTTATGAAATATCAGAAACATTGAAGTTTGGAATAATTAATCAGTCTGAAAAAAATTCAGATTTGCTTCTGTGTTTTATATTATTCATTTTATATAAAAAAAAATGTGAATTTGATTCTTGTTCATAGGTAACACTGCAAAGCAAATGCAGTTCTTCAGGCATGCACCTTGTCATACTTAGAATTTCCTCCCTTCCTCCTGGCTCCCCTCAAACTATATTCAGGATATAAACTATTTGCCTTCACTTCAGGAGGGGGAAGGAAGTTTTGTTTCCCTTATTTAATTCTGGCTTAGAAAGAAAGCAATTTGCTTTCACTAGGTTGCGTGCAGTTACGCTTTTATTAAGACCTTCTTGCCAACTGATGCATGAAAATGTGCCTGCTGCTTAAAACAGGTAAGATGTCCACAGACTTCACTCAGTTTAAGCTCAGCTGGGCTAAATTTTTCCCCTGTAGGTTCTCTTCATGAATGTAAGTTTGACTTACATGATATATGGCTTTACCAGAGCTTGGATTTGGAAACTCCTGTAATATTTCAAGAAGGAAAGAATGTATTAACACATCAAATACTTTTTTTCCTTTGCAGATAACAACAATGACAAAGTTAGTATCAACAACACTGAAGTTGAATTATGGTCGTTTTTCCTGTTGGATAACCAGCATGTATTCTTGTTTTGCAAAATTACAGCTCTTACAGAGTTTTATATTTAAATTTTGCAAAACAGCTTCAGCTTTTCTTAGTAACTTCTTAGCATAGTAAATGGTTTTGTCTGCATTGGACATGATGTGATCTTGCTTTTCACTGTGTTACATTTTGCAGCTTTTTTTTTTTATTCCACAAAAGATTTGTGTGGTGTTCGTGTGTATTGATAAATTCTTGGTGCACCTATGGCTAATTGGTGTTGGTAATACAACTAGTAAATGGTGAAATACAGTATAAGGATAAAAATGGTTTGAGGACTATGGAATGAAGGGCCAGATACTGAATTCACACAACAAAAATAAGAGTAACATCCATATAGTGTGATTTGTACATATTAGCAATGATAAATATGATTGAGGTTTTATTGGCTTGTCTTTTCTCCCCTTGCCTCAAGGCTGGGTTTTAAGGGATAGCCTGTCCCACTGAATTTTCCTTTGTCTCTGGCACCACCTTGTTGCCTCAGTGAGTCATTACTAGTAGACTCTTAAGCCTTAAAAAAGGAGCTAGTAGCATCCACAAGAAAACTCAGCAGGATATTTTGTTTATAATACCACTGTCAACAAAAGTGATAGACTACTGATTTCACTGTGGTAGTTGCTAGAATACACTCAACTGCATGTAAATAATTACATTTCCATGTAGTTCCACACCTTTAATTACTGCTTTAATTTTCAGATTTTATTTTTGCTATTAACTGTTCTGATGCTTTCCTTAATTTTCCCCTGTACTACTTGTACTCCATCCTGGAAGTTCCACTGTCTTTGTTTCTATACCTCTCCCTCTTTTAGTAAGTTTGATACGTGATACATGTACTTCACTAATACCGTGTGTCAATAATTTAATTCTTTCGATATAATTTTGTATGATACCTTTCATATTCTTTCAAGTATTAAGTATTCTTGTAAGCTTAAGTATTTACTAATGCATTCCATTGAATGGGCCTAATTCTTTACTTGTTGACAATTAATGATTTATCTCATTCATATTTTCCACCTTTCTTCACCAGAAACACTTTGAACATTAGAAGTACAGTGAGGAAAGATGAGTAGAAGTACAGTGGCAAAACTAAAAGTGACTTTTAAAGTTTTGGGTTTTTTGGGGGGTTTTAAAATTATTAATAGAATTGTTATGTCTTAGGATCTAGTTTTGCACACTTAATCTCCTGTAAATTACGTAAAAATAAATGTACGTTTGAAGGGTCTTAAAGTTTAATACTTTGGGATTTCTGAGAGCAAAGTTACTGAATGGAAAACTTTAAAATCCTGTATTTTGGCAAGTCTGCTAGAGCAGGGATTGATAATAGCATGTAGGTTACTGTGCGGAAAATTTCCAGATGAAACGATCACCCCACTTTTTTGACCTTCAGAGAGGATATTGAGCATCAGTATCTCCACATTATGCTCCAAATTGTCGCTACCTACACTTTGAAATGGCCTGGTTCTGATCCAGGCTTTGCCAAGTGCAAAAGACTTGGCGTGTACTGGCTGACCCTTGCGCTCAGCTAGTGCTTTGCCTCTTGTGAACCAAGGGGACAACTTCTCGTGGGGCACCTGATCCAAACTAAGTAGACTACCCTGCTTTACCAAAACAAATTCCCCTTTCATCTCTGTCAGTTTAATTTAACTATGAGAGTTCTGTGCTGTGGTTTTGGTAGTAGACTTGAGAATATTACTGTTAATTTGATTTCAGTGCCCTTTCACACAAAACTAATTCCAATAGAATAATTAGTTGCACTTCTGTTTCAACTTTCTGACTTTTTCTTCTTTTCTTTTTTTCCTTTTCCTGTTTATGCTGGGAAAACTTTCTCTTGCTGTCTTACTCTGTCATCTCCAAGGAAAACCCCACCCAAACGGTAAAGGTTTAAATATGTAAATGTTTTGCTAATACTGTTTTTTACTGCTTCAAATGTTCCAAGAGTGAAACAAGTAAAAATATTTCAGTTGGGTTAGAGTAGCTATAAAGCTCTGTTTGGTTTGTAGAACTGAATCTGTGTTCAGGTGTGCCTGCTGTGCATCTACATCCAAACGCAGAAGCTGCCTTTAAACACAGTGAAAAGTCACAATTCTGCCTGTGTCTTTGTAGCTACCCCAACCCAGGTGGTTTCTGAAGCTTTTCACTCACTGCTCTCTCCTCTCCTTGACGCAGCCCGCCACGGAAGCACATTGTGGATACCTACACAGAGTTTTACCACACACCCACCCATAGTGATGCCAGCAAGAAGCGACTGATCGAAGACACCGAAGACTGGCATCCCCGGACAGGCACCACCCAGTCCCGCTCTTTCCGTATCCTTGCCCAGATCACCGGCACTGATCATAGTGAGTAGTTTGGTGTAAATGAAACAAAAGTATGGGCCTTAGACAGATAGGTGCTTCTAAAAGCTATGGGCGGGGGAGAAATAAGAAAAGAATTCAGTCACATCTCTTGCGTTTTCCCTCTTGGATAATAAATCCAGTAGGCAGAATCTTGGTGAGCTCTTTGAAAGAAAAAAGTTTGAGAAGGCTGTAATAGGAAAATACGTTTGTAAAACTCCTGCAGTTGCTAAATAGCTCAGGACATACACATTACTGGACAGTATTCCTGATTGAGTTGGATATTAATACATTCTAGATAAATCTTAAAATTTCCCTTTCTACTCCCAAAGATGTTGGCAGATAAGTATGTGTTGTTTAGTTCTCATTCTGTATCACCAAAATGGTGACATTCCTGTTCAAATTTAATGCTTCAGAAAAACTAAGGTGTTTTCAGGCATGTAGGAAATCTTTGACAGTCATACAGAGGCATATGATCTGCAGTGATTTAACCAATCAGAAGCACAAATCCATAGTTCCTCAGTTTATTTCCAAGTCATGTTTCCATCCTCTGCTTATTCTATGGTGTGATTACATGAACTGTGTACTGGAACAGATGATGCAGAGGTCATTCCCAGTCAAATAATTTTATGGTAAAACTTCAATTTCATGTTATGCTGCCAGTTATAATTCACTGACTGAGACCTGTAATGGTGTGTAAAAGTCATTAGAAGTGCCATCAGGAGATTTGAGCTCAGTCATGTTCAGACTGAGGCAGCTAACATACAGGTGACTGATTCTTCTGCTTTTCACAGCTAGTGCTACAATGAAGAAGGCAGTGAGAATAATCAGACCCCGTTCTCAGGAACAGATTTGATTAAATCAACTATCAATTCACTGGCAGGATATTGCAGAAGCCAGTGATAACACCTCCCCAAATAAGGATTGTTGTCCATGTGTGATAAATATTCTGAACTTAGATGGTTACCTGCATGGTTTGCGGTCCCATGTTGAGCTAGTCTATTAATGGATCATTGTCTATCTTTGGATTCTCTTCACTGATCCTTAAAAGGGCAGAATACAAGACCTGAAGGTCAAATAACATGTCATCCAGTACTGATGAATTGATCATGTTGACAAATACTATAAGACAGTGATGGCAACTAGATTTTCCAAACTTAAAATCAAGGCTGGGAATTTATATTATCCCATGTGCCGTCCTCTAGCACCTTGATGGGTCACAGCCTGGCTGCAAAGAGATGCTTGGATTATCACCTAAGTGAAACCTGCTGGATGTTCATCCGAAACAAATGCCTCCCAGCTTCCATTCATCTTGCCCTTCTCAATGCCAATGTGGAGAGCGGGCCAAGGGGAAGAGCAGAGACTAGCAGAGCCACCTTTCAGCAATCCTGCTGGCAAAGGGGCTCTTGAAGTTTATAGACATACCTAATTTCCATTGGGGCATATTTAGAATTGCAGAGTCCTAATGAGCCTTGTTGTAATTTCCTGCTCTGGTGAATGCGCTGGCACAGAGGATCTCAGGGTACAGTGGTACAGTGCCTTTAGTGCCTTACGAAATAAAAATTTTCTGTTTTCTTGCAGTGAAAGAACCAGAACATGAAGCTGCAAAGAAAACTAAGTGAGTTGATGTTTTTATTAAATACTTTGCATGTCTTAATTCTTAACTGATAGTGTTTGGTGCGTTTGTGTGACACCTGGGTGTTTTTAAAATGTTGCTTCTTTTTTTGCCTTCTACTTCAGCATGTAAAAATCAAGATCTTTTTCTACATAGACCAACATTTTAAAATCTGTTGATGCAGTCCAGTATTAATGTTTGTGCAGGAGTTTGAGATTTGCTATAAACTTGGACTGATTTGGTTTTCTGTATAAGGTCAGCTTGAAGATGTGTTTTCCTTTTACTAAATCTAACCAAGCACTTTTGATTTGTGAGTGTGGATCAGATTGCAAGGCATAGCTGGAAAGTATTACCGTTCTGGACTGTGAACGAGGGTCAGCTGTCTCCTTGCTTTGGGATAAGTGTTGTTCAAAATGAGGACCAACCAGTGGCTGAATCTAATGGTACTTGCAGTCAGTAGGAGTTTTTCTACTGACTTTGCCTAACACCCGATCCAAGTTTTTGACAGAGAGGAAGGCAATATGCAGATAGGAATAGTGCATGGAGATTGCATGTTCGCTCATGAAACTGCTTAAGACAAACTTTCATTCTTTCTTTCTTTCTTTCTTTCTTTCTTATTTTTCTTCTGTCACTTCTTTCCACAGGGAAAAGATTCCCATCCACGTCTTTAGCCCCAAATATACAAAATTACGTGACTGGCACCATGAAGTCTCAGCACGTGTTCTTAATGTCCAGTGATTTTACCCAAGTTGCAAAAGCAAAATACAAACACTTCCTTCCTTTCTTCTTTTCCATCTGCTTTGCAAAAAGAAAAAAGAAAACATATTTCACTAGCCTTACTGCAAGAGAAATTCTAGCTTTTTCTATACTTTTCTAACACTTTCCTACTGATGTGTAAAAAATGAGATGAAAATGTTTTTGTGCTAATCATTAGTTGACAAAAAATACATATTTAAAACAGAACAACTTGGGTGACTGAAACTCCCAACATGGGGGGAGGAGATGGCTGTTGCATTTCTTTTTTTGCCTTAAAGAAGTCATTTACATTGCTGAGTTTGAGTTACTGTAGGTTGTTAGAAAGCAGAAAATTATGAACAAAAGAATAAGAAATTGTATTACTTTTGATTTTGGAGCTGGGGGAAGAAGATGAAGAGGGACTGTATGCACTTATTTCAAACTATTGTACTTACCAGGATAATTATCTTGGATTTCACTAGGTTTTCAGCAGGTCAGTTTTAGAGTGGTTGTAAATGTTTTACAAAGTAGAGCAAGAGAACAGGCTGCTTTTAAGCAAATAAAAAAATAAATTTAAAGGAATAAATTCCTATGTTGCGAATCGAAGTGCAAGCTCAGTATAAAGGTTCTGCTGCTTAAACTAGTAATATGTTCATATTAAGGAAAACTTAGAAAAAAATGAGCAGAGTGTTGCTGTGTACCTGGAAGAACTTCAACATATCCTCTAACAAGAACAAAATAAAAGAGTAGTATTTATTTATTACACAGTGAAGCTCATAGGCTCTCTTGTGTTTATAAAAACTTCATGGCCCTATGGTTCTCCTGTAAAATAATGTATTATAGTAGCTACACATTAATTAATTTATGCTTTCTGAAGCTTGGAGAGTATTTTAATAAAAGTTGCTTTTATCTTAGCTCTGTCTGTTTTTCTTGAGTCTCTCCGACTCCTTGAATAGTCTTCTCATGCACGGAGCTGTAATTTCCTTGTACCTTTACAGATCACAATAAGAGAAACAATTAAATCCCTGCTGCGTAGTAGAAACAATCTGAATTGTACAAAACTATCACAGTAGTAGAGTTCCCGATTGTGTTAAAAATGAGGTATGTGTTTATGTTGTCAAAATTGATACAAGATTTGCAGAAATCAATAAAATGATTGACCTTCTGGGGGGCTGCAGGAGTAAGAATTCTACTAAGTAAAACTCACTCTCGGCTTTTGCAGTTCTTATTGAATCAGAGAAGTTTCAGACTTCAAAGGTGAATTGTAAAGCACATATAAAAGCCCAGACTTTCATAACTGCTTAATGAGAATCATTGCAACTGGCTTGTAGTTTGTGCAGCTGACCTACATGCTTTTCTGATGGAATTGGTCCTGTGAACAGATTGATGTCCACTGCGAATGCTTCTGCAGACTTGTGCAATAAAAAAAACAACTCCCCCAACTTGGAAAATTGGAAGGAATAGAGACCTTTGGAAGCATCTTAAGCTTGTGTTTCCTTTTCAGGTGGTTTATACTGCTACATAATACAGCAGTAGCTTATGGTATTTGTTATTTTATCTTTAGGAAAAGCCAAACAGAAAATGGAGACTTCAGGTAATAGCCAAGTTATCTAACACTAACAGTCACTGATGTGGGTGCCTCACAATGCGCAATATAAAGTACAATTAAATTTGCACCGGTAATGATGGACCAAGGCATCTCACATCCTGCACACCTTTGCGGTTAACTGCTTAGGGACAGTAGAGGAAAATATTCACTTTAATAATTTCGCTAAAGACTGTTTTGATGAGAAGTACCAATTAACTTGATTCCTCCCACTCCCCCCCCACCACGCGTAACTTGGTAGTGAGTACTGTGTTACTAAACACAAGCGTGTTACTGAGTGCACATATACCATGATATAATAATTTCATAGAATACTGCATATTAAAGTAGGAATGTGAAGCAGTATATTAAAATTGTTTTGCTGCGTTTAAAGATGTTTTGTTTTGGTTTGGTTTGGTTTGGTTTGGTTTTTTATTGAATGGAAAGGAAGACAGGAGTTTCAGAGGACATCAATGCAATGAAAACTATGAAAGCTTATCACTTAGGCTCTCTGTAAAGTCTTCTTCATAAGGACAGAATAGTTTGACCTTCAAGTATTTTTATGGTTTGGAGATGTCCCTAGGTAATGAGAATATCTTCATGTTGGTATATAACTTACCACTGTGTTTATCTTACCAGTTTGTATCCCTTTGAAGGGTGAGTTGCTTTTGTGAGAAATGGAAGAAGCAGCCTCTCTAAATAATCCAAAGTATAGAAGCCTCTGTTTCAATGAAAATTGAACACAGATAGTCACAGAGTCTATCTATTGAGGATATGAGACTAGTTTGAGAAAATCTACCAAAATTATTAGTTTTCTATACATTCTTAGTAACAAATCACTAGTTCCAAAAATGTTTTACGAATGTGTGAAATTAATTTAATTTACTGCTTTAAAGATGTTATCTCTTCTCCCAATATCACTATTGCACAACACTTGTTGAAGTTAAATTTTGGACTTCTTTAATGTTTCCAAAACAATGGACTGCTTTTCCATTTGCATGTAGATAGCGTGTCTTAGCTCATGTCAAATTCCCAGCATACATCTGATTTTTGAGAAAATATTCTGAGTGGGTTTTGATACAAATAAAAAAGCTCACATTTAAGAGATCACCTAGAAGGATGAGTCTGAGAAACAATGAAGTAAAAACTTCTTTCATCAGTAATCTAAATATAAACATCCCAATTTAATAATACTGGATTTTTCAGGCAAGCATTGCCCAAGACAAATGGCCTTTGGATTTTTTATTATTGTTTGTCCCTAAGCTGTAACCCACTAGGGCTTTTTGTGTGGTTAAGATAGATTTTTCTTTTCAGCAGCTGGAAGGACAAGAAACAGAAATAGAAAACTCTCACTGAAATGTGTAAATTGCAACTCTTAAACCAGTTACTTAAAGCTTAGGAAGGCAAAATCTAGCATCTATGTCAAGTTCATTTATGTGTTTTAGTAACTGATTAGTTCAAATTCTGCAGCACCCTATTTCCAAGTATATTTTAGATGTTTACTTTTAACTATCTCCTTTTCAGCAACTAGGTACAGATTTGGTTTTGGCCTTAAATTGTAGAGTCCGTTCATTGTCCTAAATGAAGATGTGTCTGGATTTTCCAGATTTGTAGTTTAGCAAATCCATAGCCACTGAAAAACATTTGTCCCACACTTGGTCTTGAAACAACTTGTCATAAATCATGCATTTATTTTCCCTCTCCCCATGTCATAAATATCTGTAAAGCATACCTGCAGATCTACCTAATGGAACAGGAGCCCAGAATACCTGTATTAATCGGAATAAAAACTCCATAGCTACCCAGACTTTGGAGATGCCACCTGTACCAGAATTTCCATCCACACCTTTACCACCTAAGAGGTCTGCTCCCTGGTCATTCTTTAGTTTGTTCAACAATTTTCAGCACTTAAGAATCTCTATGTTATTAAGATTTTTAATTTTGCATGCCATTATAAAAAAAAAAAAAAAAGGGGGGGTGGGAGGTGGGGGGCAGCAATGCCTACTCTTGTGGCTAATTTAGTCTGGTCAAAACTTGTGGTTGTGATTGCTCTCTACCTTGTAGTTTACTTTTATTTTTGTGTATTACAGTAAGATGTCTGATGGGTGATTTCTTCAAGTAGAGGGGTCTAAGACATTTTCTAGATTTATATTTTTTCTTACTATCACAACTGACAAAAAAGATATGAGCAAATAATGAGAAATACATAGTCTAACCCTCACAAAACTAACACCCTAAAAAAGTTGCAGCAAGAAGTGTCTAAACCTTTGGGAGTGAATCCCACTAGCACTTGTGTCTGTTTCTGTTCTGGCATTTCCTAAGAGTTTTCCATCACATAATGTAATACTAAATATGTGTGTTCCATCTTTGTAAATGTGAAGTACTACTAGTCTTTCTGAGTTTATAAGCAGCAGGACACTTCTCAATCTTCACTAAAATCGCAGCACTTCCTGAGTGTATTGTGTGTCATTTTATCCCCCTATTTGTATTTTGCTGTAAACTCCATGTTTTGGGGGGAAGAGAGGGGGGTTTGATTGTTTATTTGTTTGTTTCAAATTACTAACACTTTCATGCACATTGTTTCCTGTTCAGCATACTATTCCAATGTGGATTAAAAAATCTCTTTCTCTGTGTGTCTCCATTTGATTTTATTACTGTGAATGGAGTGAAAACGGTGTCAGAC